GCTGCTGACAGGCCTGTGGGCACGGCACAAACGGCAGGAGGGTTTCCCAGCTGTGGCAGCAGGGAGGGTCTGGGTTCGAGTCCTGGCTCCGGTGCCAGGCAATGGGTTAGCCCACCTGCGACGAGGCTGGCAGAAGGGCTGGGTTCTCCAGTGTCCGGCTCCCAGGTGTAGCCGCGTCTGCAGGGACGGTACAGGGGGCGGGCGGTTAGCGCTCAGTGTCCAGCCGTTCTCTGGCAGGGAAGTCGGTGGGGATCGTGACCACGACGCGGGTGCAGCACGCCTCCCCCGCGGGGAACTACGCCCACGTGGTGAACAGGGACTGGTACGCCGACGCCAGCATGCCAGATACTGCCCTGCAGGAGAACTGCAAGGACATCGCCTGGCAGCTTGTCCACAACGTCAACTTCACCGTGAGTGGCTGCACCCCATGGGCATCGCTGGGCAGCCGCTGCCCCACACAGCTGTCCCCCGCCCCGAATGCCCCCCTCCCACTCAGCAATGCAGCGCGTGCCCGCCCGGGCCTGGTTCCTGAGGGGAGATGTGGCCGGCTGGTTCCCCACCTCTGCTCCGTGTGCCCGCCATGGGCAGGGTGGAGGAGAGGAGACAGCCAGGCCGATAGCCCCAGCCAAGCCAACTTCTTCCTCGCTGGGTTGCCCACTCTCCGTGCAAGCCCAGCCACGGGGCCTGAGTTCCCCTCGGCCCCACAGAGGGGCGTCCCCCTTAGGCAGGGGAAGGGCAGGGTGTGTGAGCTCCCCCCCACCTGCTACACCCAGCCGTCAGCCTCCAGACACCGGTCAGGCCCCATGGGGAACCCCAGAGGGGACCCTGGCTGGTGTGGGGCGGGACGGAGGCCAAGGGGCTTTGCCCGCTCAGCCCTCGCCCAGGGTTTAGAGGGGCTGGTGGAACGTGCTGTCTCTGTCCATCTCCCGGCCAGGTGATCCTGGGGGGCGGGCGGAAGTACATGACCCCCAAGGGGACCCCGGACCCCGAGTACCCCAGCAACGCCGCCCAGAATGGGATCCGCAAAGACGACAAGAACCTCATCACCCTGTGGCTGGAGTCTAAACAGGTGACTGGCGCGTCGGGGCCGGGAGGCAGCCGAGGGGCTGGTCATCGCAGTTCGCTCCCCACATTGGACAGCAGCTCAGATCGGTGCAGCCGTGTGCATCTTCCTGGAGGGGCAGGCTGGGACCTGGCTGGCAATGCAGGGCCTCCCGGGTATGGGGTTGGGTGGGTGCAGACGGGAGGGCTGAGCAGGGGCCCGGCTGGTGATGCAGGGCCCCCCGGGCGCAGGAGGGCTGGGCGGGGCCTAGTTAGGGATGCAGGGTCCCCCAAGTGCAGGGCTGGGCAGGACCCCCTGGGCGCAGGGCTGGTGGGTGCAGATGGGAGGGCTAAGCAGGGGCCCAGCTGGTGATGCAGGGTTCCCCCTGGGCATGGGGCTGGTGGGTGCAGTCAGGAGGGCTGGGCAGGAGCCTGGCTGGGCATGCAGGGCCCCCCGGGTGTGGGGCTGGGTGGGTGCAGATGGGAGGGCTGGGCAGGGCCCCCTGGGTGCAGGGTTGGTGGGTGCAGATGGGAGGGCTGGGCAGGGCCCCCTGGGTGCAGGGTTGGTGGGTGCAGATGGGAGGGCTGGGCAGGGCCCCCTGGGCACAGGGTTGATGGGTGCAGATGGGAGGGCTGGGCAGGGGCCCGGCTGGCGATGTGCATGTGCTGGGATGGTGGCACACGCAGCCCTGCCTGGGCACCCAGTGACCAGCTCTTGGGTTCGTTCCCTAGGGCGCCAGTTACGTGTGGAACAGGACGGCCCTGCTCAGCGCTGCCAGTGACTCGTCCGTGACACACCTGATGGGTAATGGGCCCTGAATCCTCCCCCTTCGGGCCCCCCACCCCAGGGCAGCCACTGTCCCCTCCTCTGGCTGCTCAGGGTGGCATGTCCGGCTCCCCCTTCACCTGCCCGCTCCCAGCCCCCATGGCCATTTGCAGCCTTTGGCCCCGCTCCCATGCACGCCCCCATTTGGTCTCTGTTCCCCCTTCAGGCCTCTTTGAGCCTGGCGACATGAAGTACGACCTCCTGCGGAATTCCACCCTGGACCCGTCCCTCACCGAGATGACGGAGGCGGCCATCCAGATCCTCAACAGGAACCCCCGGGGCTTCTACCTCTTTGTGGAAGATAAGTGGGGCTTGGGGCAGGCCATGGGGGGCAGCTGTCCCAGCCCAGACGGCTGCCATCGGGGGGTGCAGAGGGGCCCAGGGCTGAGTGTTCCCCGCGCTCCCCAGCCTGGGCTCGTGGGAGGGGGTGGCCAGGAGCTGCCCGTGTTCCTCAGAGGGGACCTGGCGTCCCAGGTTGAGGGGCACGAGCACTGGGGGACTCTGGCCATGGGAGCCCCCTGCAGCCCATCACCATGCGCTCCGGTCACACTGAGAAGCCAGAGCCTGCTTGGGGAGACGTCTTGCCGCAGCCTGAGGGGGCTGGAGGCTGCCCATCCCCACCCCACAGGTGCCTCTTACAGGCCGAATCACCCCAGTGTGATCATACCGGGGGGGGGGGGGAGGCTGCATTCGAGGCCACTGAGACGCCCCCCTCTGCGGCTAACCCCTGCCCGGTCTCTCTCCACGAGGCAGGATTGACCACGGGCACCATGACGGCGTCGCCCAGCGGGCGCTGACGGAAGCCGTGGAGTTCGACCACGCCATCCAGAGGGCGGGCGAGTTGACGAAGGAATCAGAGACCCTCACCGTGGTGACGGCCGACCACTCGCACGTCTTCAGCTTCGGCGGCTACACGCTGCGGGGCAGCTCCATCTTCGGTACGATCCCTGGGCGGGGGGGGGGGGTCCTCAACACCAGCACCCCGGAGCTTTGGGCCCACACGTGCCTGGCCCCCTTGGATGGGCTGAGGTTGCTCCTGCTCCCCGCTGAGGGGTGCAAGCTGCTCTGCACGGTGGGCCATGGGTTCGAGCTCTGCTCGCGGCACAGCTGAGGGCAGGTACCCGGGCGGCTGAGGGATACGGGTCAGCTGAGGCCTCTGCCCCATGGAGGCCATTGGCAGAGCAGGGATTGGGCCTAGGGGCCCCTTGGAGCTGGGGGGCCCATGTTGCCCCTGCCCAGGGACCTGCAGGACTGTAGAGTGGCAGATCCACCCGCTCCAGTCTGTGGCTGCCCCGCTGCTAGCTACACTGCCCTTTGAGGGGTATTGCCCGACACCCCGGGGACTTCTGTGCTGTCCCAGGGACCATCCAGTGCTTAACGCCGCTCCAGGACCCCCCGGCTTGGGTCTGATCTCTCGCTTGGTTCCCCGTTCCCCCAGGCTTGGCTCCCAAACTGGCCTCTGACAACAAGTCGTACACGTCCATCCTCTACGGGAATGGGCCCGGCTACCAGATCAATCAGAGCCGGCCCGCCGTCAACAGCTCCGAGAGTGGTAAGGGGCCCCGCCGTGGTGTGGGAGGGCGATGCTGGCAGGAGAGCTGACGGGGAGATGAGTGTGGGGGCACAGGGGTCCCCCCCCCGCCAGACTTTCACCCCCAGTGCCCAGCACAGAGCTGGCGTTTCCAGCTATGCCCCTGGTGCTGCTGCCAGCCGGTGGCACTGACTGTATAGCACGGGCGGGCATGGGCTCTGCCCAATACCGGCGTCCCCGCCCCAGGGAGCAGGAAATCGGGGGGACAGTGACTCGTGGGGCCCTTACGCTCTCTTTGCCCTTCCCCCAGAGAAGAACGGGTACCGGCAGCAGGCGGCCGTGCCCCTGAGCTCGGAAACGCACGGCGGCGAGGATGTGGCCATCATGGCCAAGGGGCCCATGGCCCACCTCTTCCATGGGGTGCAGGAGCAGACCTACGTCGCCCACGTCATGGCCTACGCCGCCTGCCTGGAGCCCTACACGGAGTGCCCGCAGTCCAACCCGGGCACCACGCAGCCCTCCCCGTGCACCACGCCGCCGAACTCTGCCCACGCCAACACCGGCCTCCTGCCCCTCCTGCTGGGGTCCCTGCTCCTGCCACTGCTCAACTAGCCCCTCCCCCGGCCCAGGAGAGAGCCCGCCCCCCGCAGCCTGACCCCCACAGCCCCCTGTGCCTGCAGCGCTGGCTGCAGCCACAAGAGGGCGACAGCCCGCCCGCTCCCTGCAAGAGGTTGGGGGGTTCCATGTGAGTGGCACCAAACCCCTTGGACACCAGTTGTCGGGGGGCTCACAGCCTGGGGAGGGGGGATTGCCGCCTGCTTTGAACAAAGAGATTCCAGTGACCAAATGGTCTGCTGCTTTCTGAGTGGAAACTCTGGGGGGGGGGCACTGCAGGGGGTGCTGTGTGTGTGGAGGGGGGAGGGACTCCAGGTGGCGCTGTGTGTGTGTGTGTGTGTGTGTGTGTGTGGTGGACTCCAGGGGGCACTGTGGGGGGGCGATGGACTCCAAGGGGCGCTGTGGGGGAGGGATGGACTCCAGGGGGCACTGTGAGGAGAGGTTCCAGCAGGCACGCTGTGCTGGGGAGGGTGAGGGACTCCGGGGCGCTGTGTGGGTGGATGGACTCTAGGGGGCGCTGTGTGCTGGGGAGGGTGAGGGACTCCGGGGCGCTGTGTGTGTGTGGGTAGATGAACTCTAGGGGACGCT